TTCTGGGAGTTGAAGTCCACAAGTCTTAAAGTTGCCAAGTTTGGAGACCTCTGGTTTAGCTCAACCAAATTATTTTCTGTAAATGATTTTTTTGTTGCTGTTGTTCTGTTTAACTCTGAGATTCATGGCCTAATTTCTGGGAAGTAAAGTTGTACAAAAGCACTCTTTTATTTTCCCGACAACAAACCTGAGATATCGATTGAGCTGGGCTCTGATAAATTCAGAGAATTTGCTTGAACTGTACTTTAGTACCCAGTTCCATTTAATTTACTGGTGACTTTTCATTCATTAGATTAACTTAGATTCGACCGAGAAATAAGGAGAAATTTTCTGGCAGGGAGAACAATCAACCCAAGGAACAGAAGTTGCCTTCAGAAGTTGTGAGAGCTTCATCACTGGAGGCTTTCAAGAAGAGATTGGACTGCCATCTGTCAGAAATGGTGTAGGGTTTTTTGTTTGAGCAGGGGGTTGGACTAGATGACCTATATGGTCCCTTACAACTCTGCTATTCTGTTCTATTCTGACTTCTGGAAGCTTTGGTGGGTAAAGGCAGATGGGGAGGATACGATCGGCTTTATAATACCAGATCTTTTCATTCATTGGATCTGCTGGTCCTTTCTCTTCCCCATAAATAGAAATATGAGAGGCAGTTTAGTCTAGCGCAGGGGTCTTCAACCTTGATAGTTTTAAGGCTTGTGGACTTCAACTCCCAGAATTCCTCTTTTAGCTCAGGAATTCTGGGAGTTGAAGTCCACAAGTCTTAAGCTTGCCAAGTTTGAAGACCCTTGTTAAGGAACCTAGAAAGAAAGAGGCCATGAGTTCAAATCCCACCTAGCCAAATCCCACCTAGCTGGGTGACTTCGAGCCAGTCATCCTCGGTCCAATCCATGTCACAGAGTTGTGGGGAAAATAGGAGGAGGATGGTGTGTTGGAGAAGTTGACTGCCTTGAGTTATTTGTGAAAATAATAAAAAATGATGTGTTTTCCCCTCTATGAAAACTAAGGGAGAAAAACAGAACAAGAGGGCAAATTAGATAAAGTTTAAGAGTCAAACTAAATTAAAATATGTGACTTGAGTTAAGCACACATTTTTACATATTTCTACTATCAGCTCTGAGGACAACGCTTAATTAAAATTGTTGTTATCCCCGCCCCCAGTAAGAACAAGTTACTTTGTGCTTGCTTAAATTAGTCTTCACAGCACGAAAATGTGCAGAGGAAGTTGTATGTTTTCTCACCCTTTATCTTTACTTAGTTCCTCCATTGCAACGTTCAATGTCTGTTGCTGGTTGATTCCAAAGAAAACCATTGAGAAAATTACACAGAAATCTGTAATACAATACAGTTGGGCTTTCGCCAGTCTGGATTGGTAAAGGCAAACAATATAAATCTATTCAGAAAGATCAAAGGCCTTTTTTTAAAAAAAGAGGAGGAAAATTGCTTTCACAAAGGATTGGAAATTAACATTAACACACTATAAATGTCTGAACATTCACTTTGGTTATCTTACAGCTTATTTTATTAGGATTCAATATGAGAAATTAGTAAAATAATGCTACATAATAGTACTGATGTTTTTAGTAAAATTTTACGGGTAATTTTGAATTCAAGCCTTGTTTTTCTGAAGTGTGAGAGGCAAAAGAAAAGAAAAGATAGTGAAGTAAATGTTTGCTCTCCCAAAATGATAAGAATAAAAGCATTTTCCCAATCCTCAGCTTAATGAATTTTCCTAGGGTAAAAGGAATACACAACCTGGCCGGAAGGCGTGCCTCAGATTGTGATTAGCCACGTTCTCGTGGTGCACAGTCGAGCAATGAGAAATGTCTTCCTTTTTTTACAACGGAGAGGTTTTCAAAAGAGAGCCAAAGCCGCGTACTAATGGAGGATGTTCTTTTATCTGTCCTGTATATATACATATATAATATATAGGTTCCCGTGATTCACAGTTGTGGGTCGAATACCCTAAATTTTGAATTCCACGATACAACTCCCCGGCAAGTGTACAACGGAATATCCCAGCCATGGAAAACAACTCAGCAGAGCTCAGGTAATACTCCAGCCAAGAGTGGGAATGATAATAGATTTCCTTGGCAAGCGGCAGAGAACACTTTGTAGTCCTTGCTGTCTTATCTTCCTGTTATCCGTTGGTGCTTAATCTTTTATGTTTAAATACAGCCAGGCCCACTTCTAAAGCTCCGCTAGCTTTCTCTTCCTCCTTCCAGGGGAAGAATTGGAAGCCTTTGATGGTCCTTTTTGACAGCAGAGCTTTGAGTAAAAGACAGTGTTCAAATTCAGCAGCATGCCTTTGCTAGACCAATACTTGAATACAGCTCCGCTGTCTGGAATCTGCACTGTTTATCAGACATTAATACAATTGAGCGAGTCCAGAAGTATTTTACTAGAAGAGTACTACACTCCTCTGTTCGCAAAAGAGTACCCTACACCACCAGGCTTGAAATTCTAGGCTTAGACAACCTTGAACTACGCTGGCTAAGATTGGAATTAAGCATAGTACATAAAATCATATGTTACAACGTCTTACCAGTTAATGAATATTTCAGCTTTAACCACAACAACACAAGAGCACACAACAAATATAAACTTAATGTAAACCACTCCAAACTTGATTGCAGGAAGTACGATTTCAGCAACAGAGTGATCACTGTCTGGAACTCACTACCTGACTCTGTTGTCACCTGATCAAACTCCCACTCCTCTACCCTCAAACTAACCTCTATCGACCTCACCCCATTCCTAAGAGGTCTGTAAGGGGCGTGCATAAGCGCACCCTCGTGCCTACTGTCCCTGTCCCATTGTCCCCAATTATCCGTTCCTATTTCTTATATTTAAACTTATGTTTATTCTTATTTCTATTATATTGTAAGCGTTTGACAAATCAAATAAATTGTCACGCCCTTGTTGGACTCTGATTCTGAGGGGGAGATTGAGCAGCTGCCAGGGAGTGGGAGTGTGGCTCCAGTGGCTGTGGAAGAAACGGGGGAAGGGCACAGTCCGGCTGGGCATTCGGAGGAAGACCCAGGGCCACCCTCTCTTCATCCTAGGGCACGCAGGGAGGCATGGATAAGGGAGCAACGTGAGTTATGTGGGTTACAGGGGAGAAAAGGGCCCTGATTCCCTACATTAGCTGCAGCTGGGAAAACAGGATTTTAAAAGGGTGTTTGCGCACGGCACCTTGCTGGAAGCAAAACATGAATTATATTTGTTTGTCGAGGCTTATCTGGGTTCTGGTGTCCTCCCAACTGTGTGTCTTTCGTTATCTTTTGAAGCCTGCAATTCCTTATCCTGGCCTGTCTCGTTAATTGCTGCGGCTGTGGTTTGTGTTGGTTTTTATTTATAATTTAGATGTACTTTGGGTTCAGACTGAATTTCTTCCTTTTAAAAACTGTTCTTGGGAGAGTTTTTTTCTCCAACCAAGGATAACTGGACATTGGGGGCCAAGTTGGAGGCCTTAACAGGAGCCTTTGTGGTGCAGTGGTTAGAGTGCGGTATTGCAAGCTACTTCTGCAGCCAGCTGCCTGCAACTTGGCAGTTCAAATCCCACCAAGGCTCAAGATTGACTCCGCCTTCCATCCATCCAAGGTGGGACCCAAATTGTTGAGGGCAGTATGCTGACTCTGTAAACCACTTAGAGAGGGCTGAAAAGCACTTGTGAAGCGGTATATAAGCCTAAGTGCTATTGCTATTAAGGGACTTTACCTACTTTTGTGACTTTGTTTCTTTTGTGCCATGCCCCTTTGGGTCATCACATTAATAAACATAATAAATAAATGTCTAAAGCCAACCCTCCCATTCCCTCTCTGTCATCCTTGCCTCCCTTTTAGGGAGTAATTAGATGGAATAAATTTTTGATACCTCCAAGGCCTTCTTGATGTGGATGGAAACAGAGCAGATGCTAAAACTGGTCTTGGGTTGTTGTTTTTTAAATTGGAAAAGTACAGTTAGTCCTCGTCTTACAACAGGTCTTCTTGAGACTGTTCAACGTTGTAACGGCGCTGAAAAAAACTGACTTATTATGATCATTTTTCACACATAGGACCATTGGGGCGATTATGTGATCAAAATTCAAGCACTTGGCCACTGACTCAGATATTTGATGGTTACAGTGTCCCGGGGTCCCTTTTGCAACCTTCTGACAAGCAAAATCACTGGACAAGCCAGATTCCTTTAACAACCGTGTTACTAACTTGACAAAGGCAGTCATTCACTTAACAGCAAGATAGTTCATAGAACGAGGCAAAACTCCCTTAACCACCCCGTCTCAGTTAGCAATGGAAATTTTGGGCTCAGTTGTGGTTGTAAGTTGAGGACTGCCTATATATCTGAGTATTGTGAGTCCTCTAAAGTCATCAATCTGGAGGAAACAACCATGTGATTAACTTAAAAACTGCTGTGATTTGCTTAACCTTGGCAAGAAAAGTCATACAACGTGGCAAAATCCGTTGTGGTCATAAGTTGAAGGGCCTGAACGTGGAAATCATGACACTAATTCTTACCACAACCTATATGTCAACTCATAAAATATTTCTATGGTCTCTTTAGAGTTGCCAACAGAAAGGGAGGGGGGAGCAATGCAGCAGCTTGGAAACCAAAAGTGCATTCCATAAATGTTTTCAAAGATAGTAATTAGGTGACCGAAGTTTCTGCAGTGCAAAATCCTAACTGGAGAACATGATTGATGACTCTGGGCTATGGACGTGTCCCATTGGAGAATATGAATTACGATACACCCAGGGGGTGGGGGGAAAACTAGGGTCAAGGGTGACAATGAATGATGTGACAGAGTCGGCTACACCCAGGCAATGCCAGCATGTTCACTCTTAATAAATCCTTTTGAAGTTTTGGAAGTTTGGCTTAAGACTCATGATTTAAATGGGGGTCACTGCCAGAATCCTGACATTATATTTGCTTGTCAGTGATGTATAGCATAGAACCACCCGCCGCATCCGAAATCGTTAGTCAAACTTATTTGGGCTACTCCAAGTTCCACTTAATCTGTTTCCCTGATAATTCAGGCCATCTTAAATGATTTTTTAAAACCAACCCACATGAAATTGCCAAATAATACAATTTTTGTCCAGGAATTGCAGCAAATTGCTTGTTCTAAAGGTAGCAGTATTAGAGACAATGGAGACAGGGATAGGACGTAATGCTCAATTAGATCTTTCTCTCATTATGACCTGACCGTATCTCTTGGCAGTGAATAATTGGTACCCAACCTGGCCTGCTAAAGAAATTAGACCACTGAAAACTGATCCTGCTCATTCTTCTTACTTGGCTGGTTCAGCCAATTACCCGACTGTGAACGGCGTAGCACAACCAAGCTGGTCAGCGACCTGGACAAAAGATGGCAAGAGGAGAGAGAAACGTTGGGTGAAGTACGATGGGATCGGGCCAGTGGATGAGTCTGGGATGCCCCTTGCCTCTCGATCGGTGAGTCCTTGGAGTAACTGTAAACAGGAAGGAAAAGTCTACTTTCCAGTATCCTTCTTCATTATAGGGAGCTCAGGGTTGAACTGTTAATTGTGTGAATGAATTCGGAGTGGGGTCTATGACAATTCACCATGGCCAACTTGCCACAGCCAACTTGCCATGGAACACTTCGCTATGGGACATGAGTTACAATAATATCAAAGAAATGGTGGAATAGAATCATTAAGCCATGGTGGCACAGTGGTTAGAGTGCAGTACTGCAGGCTCCTTCTGCTGATTGCAATTTGGCAGTTCAAATCTCACCAGGCTCAAGGTTGACTCAGCCGTCCATCCTTCTGAAGTCGGTAAAAATGAGGATTGTTGAGGGAAATAGACTGATTCTGTAAACCACTTAGAGGGGGCCGGAAAGCACTTTAAAGCGGTATATAAGTACTATTGCTAGTGCTATTCAACAAAGGATGCAAAAGGAAGGACAGAATGAAATGTGAATAACAAAAATTAAAATATTTGTTTATTTATTTTGAATAATCAAATTGAATTGTTAAATTGTCCCGCGGCAAGTTGTCCTGTGATGAGTTAGCTATGGCAGGTTGTCTTGCACCAAGTTGGCCATGGCGTGTTGGCCTTCATACCCCCTAGTGTGATGCTTTTCCCTTCATTTTTGATAGATAACATTCTTGTTTCATACTGCAGTCAATAACTATCAAGAATACAGATTGTTCTAAATATATAAAGTTATGTGCATCTCATTGGTCAAAGTGGTGCAATGCGTATATTTTTGGGTACCAATAGAAGAAAATATTTGCAGCTCAGGTTTGAATTGTACAGTCCTTGGGGCTCTCTGAGCCACACTGTTTGCTTGCCAACATTTCATTACCCAACTAGGTAATATCATCTGTGCTAGTGAGTGTGGAGTTTGCTCCCTGTTTATATTCAATTGCTTGCCCTGCCAGTGTTGGTGGGGGTATGGTTTACTCTTTGGTAGTCCCTTAATTATTGTTTACTGACTGATTGTTTGCTTGTTTGTTTGTCTCCTTTGATTAAGTTATTGTTTCTGCTTGATTGTTTGTCTGGTGTTAATCCCTGCTTATCTAGGTGTTGGCTACTGGAAAGGATGAGTTCTGGCCCTTTTATTTCCTTCTTAGATAGACAAAGAATTCCACCCCTCTTCATTTTAAAAATCCCTGCAATAATCCCAGATTATTGCCAAGCAGTCATAGGCTGGGGACCTTTTGGATTAATTTCCAAGCCGTGAAAACCTGGGGATGATTTGGCAAATGAATGAGAGCCATCTGTGCAGAAATGACACACACAAAAAAAGAGTGACTTTCCAGATGTCCATCAATTACCATTCTCAGCATCTTTTACCATTGGCTCATGCTTGAAGCTGCAGAGATTTGTAGTCCAAGGACATCTGGAAAGCTGTAGGTTTGACACCCAGGATTTAAAATTATCCAGATATTGATCTGACATCGAGTGGTGTCTGTGGTCTCATTGACATAAAAAATACTTTCCTTGCAAGAGTTGGCATAAAAATCTAATGCTGGGTTAATATAAACTGCAGTTTACCAATGGAAAGCCAACCTTAAGGGGGAGTGCTCTTTTGCCCATTAGCTATTACTCCCCAGGGGAGATTCTCTGTTTCTCTTGGCTCTTGATCATAGATTTGGTGTTTGCATCACAGCTCTTATTCCCTTGCATTCTCTTATTAACTTTGCAGCAAAGAAGGAAGCTCCAGGGGCTGCAGTTTGCAAGACACTTTACATTTGTACAACATTTACTTCACAGGTCAGATATAGACTCCACCCATCCTCAGAGTTCATCATTTACTTGCCTGTTTTTCCTCTGAGCATAGAGATGAAAAAGCCAGATTCCTGGTAGTCTGTGCATTGCATATTAGCAATAGCAATAGCCCTTAGACTTATATACCGCTTCACAGTGCATTTACAGCCCTTTCTAAGTGGTTTACAGAGTCAGCCTCTTGCCCCCAACAATGTGGGTCCTCATTTTACCAACCTTGGAAGGATGACTGGCTCAAGTCAACCTTGAGCCAGTCAGAATCGAACTCCTGGAGTGAGCAGTGAGTAAACCTGAGATACTACATTCTAGCCAGTGCGCCACCGCAGCTCTTATATAGCTCTTATATACCACGCCATAGTGCTTTATAGCATTCTTTAAACAATTTATGGAGTCAGCCTCTTGCCCCCAACAATCTGGGTCCTCATTTTGCCGACCTCGGAAGGATGGAAGGCTGAGTCAACCTGGAGCCAGTCAGGATCTAACTGCTGGCAGTGGACAGAGTTAGGCTGCATTCTAACCACCACGCCAAAGTCTTCTTGCACTCCTGAGAGATTCTTACTTTTCCGTCATGATACAGGATTGTCGAATTCCGCGCAAAGATGTTGCTTAGTCCTTCACAGTATGCGTACCTTTGTTCTATCTTTCCTTTACTGTTACTGATTTTATATGTTTGATTTGTATTGCAGAGTGTAGACAGTCCTAG